TTCTCATATTTGATGTTCGGTCCATATACCCTTTTCCAGGTTAATTATTATTCCTGATAAAGAGCATCTCGGTGGACCCTACCTCCTGATCTACTCTGCCTGTGATTCTCTCTCTTTTTTTAATTTAGTGTATCAAGGCCATCTATATTAGAGATTATACCTAACCTTCTCTGCCTCATTTCTGTTGTGCTCTTTTTCTGTCATTAGTTGTCTGTTTGTCTTCTTCATTTCACTTTCTGCTCCATTCATTGAGGGCTCTCTGCCACTTTCCTGGAGTCATGGTACTTTTTCTTTAGAATGTCTTGCAGTATTCTCTGTAGAGTTGCATTGGTAGTTATGAATTCCCCCAGTTTCTCTTTGTCTTGGAAGTATATTGTTTCTCCATTAATTTCTAGAGACAGTTTTGCAGGTACATCAATCTGGGCTGGAGATTATTTTCTTTCAGGGCTTGGAATACTTCACTCCAGACTCTTCTTGATTTGATGATTTGTGTTGAGAAGTCTGCCATAATTCTGATGGGCTTTCTCTTGTAAATGATCTGTTTCTTGTCTCTGACAGCTTTTAATATTCTGCTCTTATATTGGATTTCTGGGATCTTGATTATTATATGCCTGGGTATAGTTCTGTTTTGGTTGTAGGTGGCTGGAATTCTGTATGCCTCATCCATCTGAATATCATTTCTTTTTCCTATGTTTGGGAAGTTTTCCTTAATTATTTCTGTGAATAGCCTTTGTAGTTCCTTTGTTTGTACCCCTGCTTCTTCATTCACATTCTTTATTCTTAAGTTATAGAGTCGCTTGTCATCTTCTAGCTTTTGTATTTTTACTGCTTGTTTCCTTGTTATTTTTAAGAAATTTTTCCTTTCATGATCCCACATTACAAACATTTCCTCTAGTTTGGATAATTTATCCTTAGTTTCTTTCAAGCAGTTTTGCCAGCTTTCAATGGAGGTTTTAATTCCCTGGAATTCTCTTTGAACTTGCTTCATATATTCTATGTTGTCTTTATATTCTTCATCAAATGATTCTCCCCTTTTTTTGTGTTCCTCCATTCTTTCATCTGTGTCTTTCATCTTGAGAGGTGCTTAGCATTTCTTTTATTAATCTATTTATATCTTGCTTTGGGTTAAATATTTCACTTTTGAACTCATCTATGAGGTCCTGGTGATATCTCTTTATGTCTGCTGGTGCTGTGTCTTATATGTATGTTTGCTGTCCTCAATCTCCTTTGTATTTACCTTTCCTGGATCAATGTTCTCAGAGTTGGAGGGTGGGGACTTTTTCTTGTTGCTTCCTCTTCTCATATTTTTTTGTTTCTTCCATACAGTAGTACATATAGGAAGCCCCACTTTCTTTCTTTGTTGCTTACAATTCTTCTGAAGTGCACTTGGCTAGGTGTTCCTGTCCACTGCAGTGTGCTATTAAGGTGCAAACAGGGGCAGCGTGTGCTGGCCCCTCCCCTCCAGGTCAGCCAACCTGCTAAGGGCTTCACTGCATTAGTGAGTGCCTCCAGGCATAGGAATTGGTTTGGGATAACCTATTGGGTCTCAGCCAGGGGCATGACCTAGGCCAAGCGCACCCCACCAATCCTGCTTTAGAAGGGAGCAACAGACTGAAATCACTGCTGCTTCTTGTTCTTGCCAGTCCTTCCCAGTCCCAGGATGTCATCCTTTGGAGCCCCTTTTTCTGTGGAATGGTTTTATTCCCAGCACTCACCACAGGTTGATGCAGATTCCCCACCAGCTCAGTTCTCCATTTGGCTCACCAACCCCCAACTTCAGTGTGAGTGCGTTTCCAGTGAATTGAAGTGGCAGGATTTGGGGTGGCTTGGTAAGTTGCAGTTGCACAAGTATGGGTGCTACAGCAGAAGCACCAAGCCTTTAACTGTTCTAGTTATACTGGGACTGTATGTTTGATTGGTTCTTCTCACTTTGTGTCAAGAGGATTCATCTCCCTCTGTTCAGGACTTCCCATGCTGTATTATTTTGAAATCTAAGTTGACTATCCCAGAGAGCCTCTGTAGCCTGCTGTTATCTATCTGCCATCTTTACCGGAACTCTCCTAAGCCACACTTTTGCAGTGCAGCAAGTCCTGCTCAGTATGCTAGCAATGTGCCCAGTGGGCTGGATACCCACTTTGTAAGTTTAATGTCTATCTTTGTTTGATCTACAAGTCTCTTATTTCAGGTTGATTGGCACATCAGGATATATGTCATTACTTTCCTATTGTCTGGGATTTTAGTTGATTTCCTCTGAGATGCTCCAGTGTGGGCTCTCCTCTATTGAGTCATGTTGATCTTCCAACCAACTTATCTTTGATAAAGGGGTCAAATATATTCACTGGAAGAAGTATAGCCTCTTTAATAAATGCTGCTGGGAAAACTGGCTTTTCACATGTCAGAGATTAAAACTAGACCCATATCTCTCATCATTCAGTAAACTATAATAAAAATGGACCAAAGATCTAAATATTAAAAAGAAACACTAAATTTGCTGGGAGAGAGAATAGTTAGAACTCTTAAGATATAGGTACAGGCAAAAGCTTTATGAACAAAACCTTGAACACACAGAAAATATTGCAAAGAATCAAAAAACTGGGATCTCATCTTATTGAAAGCTTTTGCATAACAAAAGAAACCACCAATGGAGTTAAGAGACAACCCATAAAGTGAGGAAAAATTTTTTACAAGTTTTCCTCAGGCAAAAAAAATAATATCTAGAATATATAAAGAAGTTAAAAAATCAAAACCTGCAAATTTAAACACCCAGTTCAAGATGGGTAAAATGGATGGACACTTCTCAAATCAAGAAGTATGAACAGAAAGTAACTATTAAAAAAAGGTATAACATCGCTTGCTACTCAAGAGATGTGAATTAAAACACTGAGATTTCATCTCACTCCAGAAAGAATGGCTCTTATCAAGAAATCAACCAATGACAAATGCTAGTGGGGCTGTGGGGAAAAGAAAGCCTTCTTCACTGTTGGTGGGAATGTAGACTGGTGCTACTACTATAGAATTCAGTATGAAGATTCCTTTAAAAATTAAAATCAGAAGTTTCATATTCCCCTTCTTCGTATCTTCCCAAAAGAATTAAAAGTATGCCACAGCAATATATGGACACCCATGTTTATAGTATCAAAATTTATAATAGCTAAATCTTGGAAAAGCATAAATGCCCATCAATATACTCAGTAAATGGCAGCTATTTCTGTTTTTCCCCTTTACAATAAGTTATGTTATAGCCCCCAGATTGATTTATTGAAAAAAAGATTGGGAATTCTACAAAAATGGAATCTACCAAAGAATTTATTTTTGTCTTTCCTATACTTACTTCAGGGCCCTTTTTATGGAATACATGCTTAGTAAATACTACATAATTAAATTGTGATAGTTTACATAAAATTTTCACACACAATTACTAGATTCAGAAAAGAGTACTGTATTCTTTTTACAACATGAACTACTGCACAAGAATCCCCTTTCAGTGAATGACTCCCTGGAGTGAATGACCGTGTAACAGATTATTACTTGTTCCTGGTTATTGAGACTGGTTTTCCTATTATTAGCTCTAGAGCCTAGATAACTGACTTTACATTTCTGTATCTCAATCTTTTTTATTTGTAAGTGAAAGATAATAAGACTTTGTATCCACTGGGGCTTCTGTAAAGATAAATTAATACACTTTTTCTAAATATGTATTCTTTTCTAGGAGAAAAATTTGACAGTGAAAATGTTTTCAATAAATATAACTTCTTCATCACCAAAATATTCTAGCATTGTGCTGGAATTTGAATTTTTAGAGTTTAATAAAATGCAATCAAACCGTTCTCTGGTGGGCCTTTTGTGACAGTCCTCATTTTATTTTCTCATTTCTCATACTTCTCATTGTTCATCTTATTACTATTTTCTCCTCTGACCTCCATATAGAGCTCATGAAGTTTCTAACTGGTACTTACATTTCAGTGCCAGCTCATGAGGCTATTTACTTACTTTTGAAGTTCTTCCTTCTCGACACCTGAACAAACTTTAGATTTGGTAGGATAAGCTGGATAGGAAACCATCCAAGAAATTTAATAAGAGGACTTAACAAAAAGCTAATAGACCATTTCAAACTAATGCTTACCATATGTAACAGTGTGCCTTTCCTCTAGAGATTGAAAACAGAAACATAATTAAGAGAAAAGCTCAAGTATCTGTGCATAAGATGCCTGTAATATGGGATTAATTTCAACAAGCATTTTAATGTTTCACTAATAGTTTAATGAACTTGTAATTTTAAAGAAACAGTAGGGCATTGCACTAATTTACAAGGTGAACATCTTCGAGTTCCATAGCACCACTTGTCATTTCCAATAGCAGGAATCTTGTCTTCCTTGAAGTGTTTCTGTTCTCCATTTAACTTGAGCAAGTCATTGATCCATATAAGATACAAAGTTCTTTTCACTCAGTCTATCTTTGAGTTTAGGATCTCTACTAACTGTTAGCTCTTTTCAATGGTTGCATTTGTTTCTATTAAATTTAAGAAAAAGTGACTTAGAACCAATCCTTCATTCTATTTCTCATTTGTGGAATTATTTTATGCATTCATTTACTTTCTTCATCTCTCTGTATTTATTTAAGTAGTGAAATTATGTATGCCAGAAAATGTAGTCTCAGTTCTATGGATGAAAGGCTGGTCACTACCTGAGAGGTACAGAGATTTCCAAGTTGGCGTTTTGGCTACTAATTTGGCATGGGGTGGTCCAAGGCATGAATACATAGTATGTGCCCATGTAGCTGTGCTCTCACATTCATTTATTGACTTATCATGAGTAAATTCCTTGCATTTATAAGCTCTAGCACCATTTATTAGGAAGACAAATGAAAGTAACTAAGCTTCAAGGCCATAAGTACTGAAACTTTTTGGAATTACTATGCTATTAAAATGACGGAGTGCCTTGCTTTGCCCAGGTGAGTCCCGCTCTTTCACCTCCAGCCTTGCTTCTTGGAGTGACCTCTGCCAGTCCTTTGAACCCTGCATGTTTCAGTGAGCTAACTAGAACCCTTTAGGCAGGGCCAGGGATGGATGGCTAGTTTGTTAGTCTTCATCTGACTACATCATTAAGTGCCAAGTTCAACAGGGAACAGGCATTCATTTTTAGTTAACGTTTGTTAACCTGCTCACTTGAATAAGTAGATGGATGCAAATCAGCAGTCACTTCAGAAGTAGCAATTACATATTTTACAAGTAGATCCAGATTAGTAGACTTTTGCCTTTAATTGAAAATAAAATAAGCTGAGGATTCGAGCATTTTAAAAAAATAAAATGCAATTATTAAGATCGTGTTTATTGTTTTACAAGTGATATGAACTAAATAACCAAGCCTTTTAGTTTTCTTGAAAGAAAAGATCTTAGCCAAAGTCAACAGATATAGACAGATACATGGGGAGTACTTTTGACTTGTATTTTGATTTCTCAATTTACTTCTAAGTTTAGCAGCATTTGAGTATGAAAAATGTCATATATCACAGGTTTCCTGTGAATTTCTAAATTAGTGTCATTTTAAAAAATATGTGACCTTCCATGCAAAGTCAAGGGACTTTAGGAAGCACAATCATGTGCACAGTGCTGGCCTCTGCTCTCATGCTACAAACTTCCCAGGCATTATTTTCCACTTCAGGTCTTTCTCCTTGTGAAAGCTTCATTTTGATGTAGAAAAAAAAAAAAAAAAAAAAAAAAGACACTTTCTTTCCAATGAAGTGACAAATATTTTCACAATGCTTTTCTTTTTCCCATAATATGAATGGTTTGAATATATGAAGAAAATGTCAAATGAGGCAATACAACATCTTTTTATAGTAGAATAAAAAGACACAGAACTTCAACAAAGCAGAAGGCCACACTAAAGAAGCAACGATATTCTTATTTAAATAGGACATTCTAATTATATACTTAATGTCTTTATTATTTTATACTTAACTCATTATTCAAATTTTTCATGTAGTTTACTCTTTCCGTTCCTTGCCTAAAATTTCATTCTCACATTTGGGTACAAAAAAGAGAAGGGGAAAGAAAAAAATTAAATTTGAGTTCAAGATAATAATTATCCTGAATAATTCCAACACCCACTTTAAGAGTTCTGCATTTTATTTCTAGAAAATGTACTCAATAACTTACGACTCTCTACACCAAAATTTCATTGACTATGTTTATATCTTAATCCCTCATTTTTCTTCTTGTCTGATTTTATAAAGAAATTTGGACGGCTCTGGTTTTGTGTTACTTTGTTTCATTGTGAAGACAAAACATAGTTCTTTGAAATTCAGATCCCAAAATATTTATCCTCATTTATTGTAATTATATATAATAAGCCAAAAAAAAGAGTAGAAGGGAAAAATAGGAATGGAGAAAATACATATAAAAAGGTATCACAATAAAAGAAGAGGACATAAGTGGCCTTCTATCCTTTGCAATGACAAGTTTGAGACCTAGAGACTTTCACAAGAAAGCCAACAAGGGACCATTCATAATTTCAGTTTGTCATCATATTTATTTATTTATTTGACTCAGGTTTGGGTTTTTAAGCACATTTGTTTTGCCATAGTTTTCCCTTAACTCATCAAGATGAAAACTAAAATTATCTTTGCAATTTTTGCCACTACCTTGGAAAACTAGAGAGAGAGCTTCCGTATTACACCAAAATGAATAAATAAGTCAAGTCAACATAGGCAGGCAGTAGACTTTTCCGGCAGAGAGAACACTTCGTGTAGATCCGTTTCATCTGTGGAACCACCTGACCTTGCTGGGAGTGGAAGATGTCCAGGTGCCTGAAGACAGATCTCCACCCCCAGCAGCAACAGACCTGGGGAACTTGCTGGGGAAATCTCTCCTTTAAATTAAGCAATGGCGAACCTAATAATGGAAATTATACATATGGTTTCAAAAATAATTTCCAAGCACTCTATATTTTCAAGTTCCTATTTTTGGTTTCATCTATTATATTGCTATTCTTTTAAGTTTTTGATAAAATTCGGTACCTTATTTCTGGGAAACTTCCATTGGTCTTTCCTGTTCACCAAATAAAACTGCAAATGGAGAGCACAGGGAAATTAAGGGGAAAGAAAAAGAAGATATGAGTAAGATGTTAACTGATGCTTCTTGTTCCAGAGCTTCAGAATACATTATTCTAAGCTAAATCAGTTTCCCACATACATTTTGGTTAATTAAAACTTGATCAGGCTAGTGCTATGTTGGTTTAAGTAGTCTTTTTCAGGCAAAATGTTCTATAACACATTTATTTGCTTAATGCTTCTCTCCAGGATCACATAATAGAGTCCAGGCCAGACCTGTTTTGCTCATCATTGTTCCCCAATACTTTGCACTGTGTAGAATCTAGCATCCTAAATATACTTACAAATGAATGGGCAGCAGTTTAGAAGCTGGTGGTTAGTACTCACGCAGGGGTCCCACCATGAGTCCTGTCTCTATCAGGACTCCTAACATGTTGGTATCACAGTAGTTCATTAAGTTAGAATAAAAAAATTATTTATGCTATTTTGTCATCAGTACTCCTTGGCTAGAGCTCTGACCATAAACATTATCCTCACTTATATTACAAAACAAATAGTTTTGCAGAATTTGATATGTAAATGCCACTTTCAGATAAAGAAAATCACACAATGAATTACAAATGCAGGATAATGTTCTCATTCTATGACTAATAAAATCAGGATTGTTATTTTCCACTAATTATTTCCTTTCCATTCTATATATTCTACATCTTCTCTTCTGCTAGCCTCTTTCTAATCAGTAAATAACTATGCTGGGACCTTATCATTTTACAAAGTCTATCATACAAGCCAACAGACTGACCTAATTTTCATAGTTGAAAAAATCGCCTAAAATTAATGCCTGGAATTTTTTACCCTACTTACCTTTCCATGCATTACAATCTGACTTCTGAGCTCAATAGTGAATAAAAAAATAAGGATCCCAAAGATGCTACATACTAGGCCTTACTTCTCTTTTCCTTATTTTGCCTCTTCATAACATTGTGTTTTAATAAAAGCCCTTTCTTTATTGAAAAATCTTCTCAACTTGTTCTACCCAGCATTATTGCTCCATGCTCGCTCTCTCTGTCTCTCTGTCTCTCTGTCTCTCTCTGTCTCTCAGCAGGGTTTTCTCCTTCTTATTTGTGGGTTCCTACTGTCCCACCTGCCATTTAACTGGTGTGTCGCACAGTTCTACAGATTACCTTATCTTCCTCCACATCTATACACACTCTCTTGGAAATCTCACCTTTACAAAATAGACAAAGCAAACATTTCCAAATCTACTTTTCTAGACCCAATCTCTTCGTGGGAGATTGCTTCTGTCACCTCTGTGAATAAAGTTTTGTTGTCATTTATACCTTGACATGTTCAAAGCTAGAAATGCACAAATGAGCTTCAGCTTCTCATTTTATCTTGTCTTCAACAAACAACTCATCAATAGTCTGTTGATCTTACCTCTCTAATAAGATTCAAACTTCCCCTTCTTCTTCTCCCAGGGTAAAGTTTTTATTTCACATTCTCACTCATCTCTATTATTCTAACTAGTGCCTTTTCCCTGGTCTCCTAGCGTCTTCTTTGCTATAGGATAAGGGCTGTATAACTTCAGCATGGCTATTGCAGAGATAGAAATATTGTTAAGGAAGTGTAGTTTGTCCAGTAAACATATACATTAAGATAATCTTCACCTTCCACAATAATTCTAAAATTATGAAGCAATATTGAGAAGAGTAATTTTGTCTCTAGACCACAGATAACTACGTAAAGATCTAAATTGAGTGTCTCATTTAACATGTCAGTTGGTTTCTCACTATGAACTATAAACCTTAATATGTAATTCAATAGTTTATGGATTTGATCAACAAAAATCTATGTCCTTTAAACTTTGGAATGTGCAAAAACTAGAGCCAAGTTAGCATCTGGGTTGCAGGTGATCTGTGTTAACTATGGCGACATCTAAGGGCAGACACCTACATGCAACTGTCCAGGCTCCCTCTCTGAATACACTTTCTCCTTGTCTTAGACAATTGTGACTATAGCATTCACTATATTCATCACATTATGTTTAAGGAAAAATGAAAAATCATCTTTTGCAAAATCATCCCATGATTTTCCCATGAAAATCCCAGAAACTCTTAAGCATTATTTTGTTTAATTAAGGGAGAAAACTTGTTAGTAGCTTGGGCTTATGGCCATGATTCTTGAAATCATGTGGAAACAGGCTCTGTAGCAATAAGTTCATGAATTTATTTTTCACAACCTGTTAGGCTGAGTAGAATGGATGATGTATTATTTTTTCTAAGAGTACATATTGTTCCTTTTAACCACATAACTTCTAATCACTGTGCAAATACAAGATCAACAAATTGCATCAAAGACAAATGATGTGGTCTGTGGCACATGCCTAAACTAGTCTACACAGAACTATACTAGCCTAGAATTTAGAGAGAAACTGTTAAGTTGCCAAAATATTGTCTTCCTTGAACTGCCAAGCTTTCTCCCTTCCATTATGCAAGTGCCTTCAGAAGTCATTTCACTTTCCATAGATTCTATTCCAAAATGTCAGTTACAATCACCAGCTTCCAGGAACCCCCAGGAAGTCACCTATTAGGGAACATTCATAAAGAGGAAGTAACAAGAGAACACCATGTACTTCAGGATCAAAGAGACTACAGTCCAAACACCATCTCTACCTCTTCTGTGCTCAATCTGCATCTTGAGTGAATAATAAAACCATGTGAGACTCACTGTCCTCATCTGTAGGAATAATAATTCTCACCTCAGATGTTCTTTGGATAAAAGAGGTACACATAAACATCACGTCAGCAGCCTTAAGGGTTGTTCATATATTTAGTATTACAAAACCCTCAATATATGTATTTTATTATTAAAATTTTCTAGATGAGGACACAGAAAGTTAAGTAATTTGTATAAGGCCGTCAAGACAGTAAGTAGAAGAGTCAGGACTTGAATTTAGACAGAACAACTCTAAACTCTGTACTTTCAAATTACTGTAAACACTAAGTGTCTAGTATAGTTTCAGGTACACGTGAGAGGCTAAATAAATATCTTTTTAGGACAACTGCAATAGCTTTTCATGGATTTTCTTAACTCAGGTATTACTCTCTTCAAATTATTCCCAAAGAATTTTTCTCAAGCCCACTCCCTAAAATCCAAATCTGATTAAAATAAATACAGATAAAATTTTGCTATATTATCTCATTACATAAAAGAAATGACTGGGCTCTTCAATGTGAGGTTCTAGTCCCTCAACAATTGGGGTGGAATCTACCATGCTAGACTCGTCTTCTGACATTCTCATCCCAGATCCATCACTGATATTCTTACTGCAGCAGGTGACTCTACCTACCTACTTGTTTTGCTTCCACTTCTGCCCTGGGAAAGCTCCTCCTCAGACCATCGGGTCAGACTCAGTTTCTGCTTCTCTGCAAGATCTTGTTCCCTTGATCCTTTGCGGGGGCAGCCCATTTGCCTGTCCTCTGAACTCCATAGAAATGAAATTAACAAGTGTATGTGATCTGAACACATCCACATCCACTGCGTTCTTGATGACCTGAGAATTAAAAAGGAGTTTTGCTGCATTATGTCTTTAGCAAAGTACAAAGAAATTCCTTTTTTGCCTTTGGGGAAGATTGGGATAGAAAAATAGAGGCATTGTATATCTTTAAGAAGTAAGAAGAATATTCTTCCACCCTTCTTACTTGAAAGAGAGTAAGCAGCCTTCTTAATGCTTTCATCCATTTTTAATGATTGGAGGCTTCCTGAAAGGAAATCAAACTGTTTGTATAAGGAAGTTGCTAAATAAACTCTCTGGTTTTTGTTGATTGGTTAAAGGAAAGCAACCAATTTCCTAAGTAGCTCCCTGGATGAGAAAGGGGATGGCTGTTACAGGATCTGTAAGGGGCAAATGCCACATTGGACAGTAATATGAGCACATAAATCTGGAAGTTCCTGGCACTAAGAGTGTTAAGGGCTAAGTAATCAAGCTTAGCATACAGAAGTAGCAGGGATTAGCAGCACTGCGTATATAGAATTCTTGTCAATACAGCAGCATCTTGAGTTTTAACTTATTTTTTATTTAATTTGAAAATTTAACACATGACCTAATTTCTATCACAAACATTATGGTTGAGACCTAAAATGTCCCCCAAGGCCACTGACTAGCTTTGGGGAAAGAATCAGACTGCAACGGCCCTAACTCATCAATGGTGTGATCTATTGATGAGCTCATAGCAGAATAGGCTCTTAAGAGGCGATGGGCCAAGGTGAAGGGAGCAGGCCGAGGTGGCAGGACATTGGGAAACCTTGTCTTTGTTTCTTCCCCTTGGGATAATGTATATTCTTTCTTATTTTCTCCTCTTTTCCTGTCCCAGTCCCTATCCTTCCCTCCTATTTCTCTCTCTCTCTCTCTCTCCTCTCCTTTTTCCTGCCTTTCTTCCCCTTTCCCTTCCTTTTTCTCTTCCTTTTCTTTCTTATGGCTTGTATCCAGATTTGCTCTCAAAGCCTCATGAGGTCATAGGTGAAGGTCTTTCAAGGAGGCTGGGCCTAGAGTATGTAGTGCTAAGATTGAGTAAGATTTTTACCTAATTTGTCTTCCAATAGATTTAGTGTTTCTGTTTTAATATTCAGATCTTTGATCCATTTAGATTTTACTTTGGTACATGGTGATAGGCACAAGTCTAGTTTTAGTTTTCAGCATATGAGCAGCCAGTTTTTCCAGCACCATTTATTAAAGAGACTGTCGTTCTTCCAGTGATCATGTTTGGCCCCTTTATCAAACATAAGGTGGTAGAATGTGTTTGCAGTTGTGGTTGTATCTTCTAATCTATCTCATTGGTCTTTAGATCTGTTTTTATTCCAGTACCATGTTGATTTTATTATAGTAGCTTTGTAGGTAGGCAGAGAATTCATAAACAGGAATTAAACTGCATGGGAAATACTTCCCAGAATAAATCACTGGGATCACATCTTATTAAAAAGTTTCTGCCTGTCAAAAGAAATCTCCAACATAGTGAAAAGAAAACCCACAAACTGGAAAAAAATCTTAGTGAACTGTCCCTCAAAGGACTTCTGTCTAAAACATGTAAAGAATTTTTAAAAATCAGACCCCCAAAATTCAAAGATCTAAGCCAAAAATGGGCATCTGAGATGAATTCACAGTTCTCAAATGAAGAAATACAAATGGCAAATAAAAACATGCAAAAATGTTCAGCATCATTAGTCATTAGAGAAATGCAAATTAAAACAGCACTGAGAATTCATCTCACTCCAGAAAGAATGGCCAGGATCAAGAAAATTACCAACAACAAATGTTGGCGAGGCTGTGGGGAAAAAGGAACTCTCTTGCACTGCTGGTAGGAGTGTAGACTGGTACAACCACTGTGGAGGTCAGTCTGGAGATTCCTCAAAAATCTAGGATTGGAAGACCCATTCAGCCTAGCTATTCCTCTTCTAGGAATAATCCCAGAAGAAGCACAATGATATATGTGCACCCATGTGCATAGCAGCACAATTTGTAACAGCCAGATCTTAGAAACAACCTAAGTGTCCATCAACTGAGGAGTGGATTAAAAGGCTGTGGTATTTTTATGCAATGGAATATTACTCAGCTATAAAGAATGATCACATTGAGATATTTATAAATACATGGACACAACTTGAGACCATACTCATAAGCAAAATAAATTAAACTCACATGTATAAATACCGTATAGTCATCCTAGTGTAAGAAATGGTAAGATTACATAAGATTTTATGGTAATCACGATTCCCCATTACATTGCTTTGAAGCCTTATCATGTTTTCATTTATTAGTTGGAATGGTTTGATTTTGTTTTGTTTGATTTTATTATGTGTGATGGTATGAACAGCTATTTTGAAGAAAACAAGATATTCTGATAGCCATTGCTGATTTAATATCATCTTGCTTTAAAGTTGCACCATGCTTTTGTTCTTCTGTTTACATTGGTTCTATCATGGTGTATCTTATTGGATTTTAATATGTGTGATAGTATAAACAAATTTTTATGGAAAATGAGATATTATAGTAGCCATTATTTGATCTGTTATTTGGTTCAGAATGCCCTGTAATACTTTCATTCTCTTGAATAGTTTTATACTATTTTATTATGTTTGATACTATTGTATGTGAAGGTATGCTCAACTATTTCAAAGAAATAGACATTATGATAGCTACTGTAAATATCAGGTAGTCTTATGGTGAATCACTGTGTTGCTTACATTGTTCTGGTTTTTGTTGTTGTTGTTTCTTTTTCCTTTTTATCGGTACCGGGGATCGAACTCACGACCACCTTCTTGCAAGGCAGGTGCTTATGCCGCTGAGCTAAATCCCCAGCCCCACATTATTCTGTTTTGATCTGCTTTGTTCTTTTCTCTTTTGTCTTAATCTCTTTAAAATAAAAAAAAGATTAAGTGAGTAAAGCTGGGATCAAGGGAGCAAGAGAGCTAATTTAGTCTACTGGTTTGTTTGGCATAGTATGGTTGTGGATAAGGCCTTCCCTGGGTGTGAGAACTGCCTGCCCTCAGGGTGGGCAGTCTGGACAGAACATAAGGGACAGAAAGGGAACTGCTGGAGTTGTTTATCACTTGCTGCTTGCTGCTTTTGCTGCTTCTTCCTTCCACACCATGACTTGTTTTATTCTCCTCTGCAGTGCCTCTCTGATACACCATTTTGCCTTGGAATCAACTGATTATGGACTAAAACCTTTACAAACTGAGCTACGTAAATCTTTCCTCCTTTAACTTTGGATATTATGTATTTTGTCTCAGCAAGAAGAAAAGTGACTAAGACATTTTTTCTCTTTCTCCTCCTATTTCGTCTTTCTACTCCTCCTCCTCCACCTCCTCTTCCTCCCCCCCCTTCTTCGTCTCTTGCTCCTCTTCCTTCTCTGTCTCTGTCTCTGTCTCTCTCTCTCTCTCTCTCTCTCTCTCTCTCTCTCTCTCTCTCTCTCTCTCTTTCTCTCTCTTTTCCTCTCCTCTCCTTCTTGGCTACCATGAGATAAGCCACCATCCTTCATCACACTCTTCAGCTATGAAATTTCTGCCTCAGTACAGATTTAAGAGCAATGAAGCCAGCTAGCCATGCTCTGAAACCTCAAGCAATGAACCAAAATAAATCTTTTAATATTTTAAGTTGTCTTTTCCAAGTATCTTATTACAGTCACAGAAAGTCAACTAACACAAATATGAAACCATTTAAACCTTCTGCATATGTTACAGTACTTAAAATGATATCTTAATTTCTATAAAAATAATCTCTCCTATTTCCTGAGCATGTCTTTGTCACCATATTTCATCTACCACACTAGGTAGGTAGGTACCAGACCTACCATCATCTCTCAGGTTGATTACTCCAACAAACTCTCAGTGATTCTCCCTTTTCTCATCATTTTAAAAGAAAGCTCCAATCATACCACTCCTTTTTGAAAAAAAAATTAATGGTTTCTCATTGGTCTTTGAATAAAGACAGAAATCCATAGCTTTCCATCTAATTCATCCCACCTTCCCCTTGAACTGATGTCATGGCCGCCCTGTATCTCCAGCCACTCTGGCCTTTCAACTGCACAAGGCCCTTTCCTTTTACCCTTTCAAAATCGAAGCCCATAGGGCTGGGGATTTAGCTTAGTGGCATAAGCGCCTGCCTGGCAAGTGCAAGGTCATGAGTTCGATCCCTGGCAAAAAAAAAAAAAAATCTAAGCTGATGCTTGTTCTCTTAAACAGAGCATCCCCACCTAGGAGAATGTTTAGTACAGCCATCCCTTGGTCTCAGCTCCAATATCAGGGACCTTTTAAAAAGATCCCTTCTTTCGCTTTCACGTATTTGTACACACACACACACCCAGAATGGTTAGATTGTAATTTAGCTTTGTACCTCAGGTGCTCATGACAATTTTAAAATACAGATTTTTCTTAGTAGTTTCCTTGTCAACAAACACTGTACTTTATGAAGGAAGGGTTTGTTTTGTCTGCTTTTATTAGCAATTTGTCTTTAATGATACTTAGTTGAAAGCATTTAAGAAATCAAATCAAATTTTGCATAATTATAAACTTAAAATTGATATTTGGGGTAGAAAATGGGTATCAAATGAGAGTGAAGAGAAAGACAATTTGATGATTACATGTGGAAAAAAAATGAAACTAAATAAAAGAAAATGATGTTCATGGTAAAATAGTTTTTGGTAGAGTTCAGAATCTATATGAAGTCAAGAAATGGATGCTGGTATGTACTGAGATAGGACCAGGGAGAGGAGCGACAAGGGCAGACACCCATAAGGGGTTTTTTTTATTATTTATTTGAGTTGTTTTGTTTTGTTTGACTTTCAAAACAAAACGATAGGAATTTAACAACAGTTGTAATATTGCATATTGTTATCTTCAAAAGAGTTGTTTAGGTTACCAAATATAGACATAAAAAATTAATCATATGAGTATTAACTGTTCTTTTCCAAGAACTAGTAGAATCAATAGCATACTAATCTTAGCTATTTTATGTATATATATAAATGAAATTATATCTTTTTCCTTTTCCCTTCCTTTTTTTTCTCTTTTCCCCATCCCAATTATTTTTCCCCTTCAAGCAGTTTCTTACCCTTTCACAATACCAATTATAGAGTTGGGGTCTTATTTTTACACAATGCACTACTACTGTGCTATAAAGAAGGATTGTACAAAGGCTGTTATAGGTAAATAGATGA